TTTTTTGCAGACTGCAAGAGCAATTTTATATAAAAGTAAACTTGAACTTTCGATTATGTCAAATAGAATTTCCGATGCTGGAGCTCCCAAAGGATCTACAAAACAAAAGTATGTTTCGATGTCTATCAAACAAAAAGTGGAATTGGTGCAAAAAATGGATAAAGATATGAAGAAGGTGACAGAGAGGTTAGTGAAAACGAAAAAATTTTGATTGACAAGTTAGTCCGTATTCTTGGCACAGCAATTACGGGACTTGAACAGCGGAACTTTGTAACTGAACAAGAAATTATGTCTGTTTATAGAATTAAAGAGAAAGTATTATCACATAAAACGAAGCAACTTAAACAACTTACATTGAAAGAAATGTTTAATAAAGTAAACAAATAAATATTAATCTGTTTTTTTTTTTTTTTTTTTTTTTTTTTTTGTCTTGTGAATTCGAAGTTGATCTATCAGTACTATCTTTATCTTCAGGGCAGATGTTTTTATTTTATTTGGCTTAGATTCCTTACTAAATGTAGTATTTCATCTCAATGTACTCCGTCTTTGATATGATTTAAATCAAATTCCTCGTCATTAATTCGCTTCCGATAGTGAAGAAAGTGACACAGAGGTTATTGAAAACAAAAAAATTTCGATTGACAAATTAGTCGGTATTCTCGACATAGCAATTATAGGACTTGAACAGTGGAACTTTGTAACTGAACGAGAAATTATGTCTGTTTATAGAATTAAAGAGAAAGTATTATCACATAAAACGAAGCAACTTAAACAACTTACATTGAAAGAAATGTTTAATAAAGTAAACAAATAAATATTAAGCTTTTTTTTGTAAATTTTGATACTCTTGAGATCATAATTGTTCTTTATTTCATAAATTACGGTTTCATATTTTTAATTTTAGAATTTCTGCATGCCATCTTACGAGATTTAAACTGATGATCTATAATCCAGAATCGCCGAAGTCCCGACGAGTACGGATTAACGACTTTTGACTGTAAATATTTTGGAGGCGTGGAAAAATCTATGATAAAAAAGGATCACGACTGAAAAAAAATTTAAGAAGCCTGATGCCAACCCATTTTTTGCCTGTTTTGTTTCTGTGGGAATTTTTCTATATGTTTACTGTTTCAGCTGAATGGCAGGTATTTAATTATGGCAAAGCACACGAGGGCTATCTGCCTAGGGGAAGGGATTCCTTCGTGGAGGATTTTCTTAGTGAACTGGCTCGTATACATGTTACACATGGGGAAAATGACCGTGCAGCCAGCCCGTTCGCGGGATTCAAACCTCGGACCGAACTACGAGTGTTCAGTGACTTTACCGCTCGGCCGCTGGTGGGCCCCATTTCAGCTGAATGGAAAAACACGCTAACATGTTTCAAATGCCTGTTAGGGGAAGAGGATCAAATACCCCACATTATTATTATCTCTATTTATCTCCTGTTTCAATTCCGAGTTGAATTATGTTTTTTGATAGAATTTTTCCATATTACATATTTCAGTTCAACAAAAAATCAACTTTTAAAATATTGAAAAGCATGTACTAAAATATTTCAAAATGAAAATGTGGGATAAATAAATATATAAATTACTTTTTTCTAGGAGTGTAGGAGTTCTTATGTATATATATATATAAAGAAATTTAGAACCAACTTTTCACAAAGACTAAAAAATTGAAGTTCAAATGATCTTCATTAAATCCTATAAATGTAGAATATGAATACTTTAAAATGTAAAAACTAACACGTTGCCTGCCGCGCGCATTTTATGTGATTTGCCCATGACACCAACTTGAAATTTTTGTTATGCAATATATATTATGTTGAAATATTATCGGCAGAACATAATGTTATATATAATCGTGCTTAATGCATTTTTCATGCTGGGGGTCACCGATCTATATACCATTTTTGCGATTTATAATTTAAATTTTTATGATTTATTATTCTTCAAATCATTATAGTAACGATGGTACTATTTAAAAATTTATTAGTATCGATATTTATTCTAATTATGTATTTTACTATTGGTCGCATTGCCCGTGGCACCCACAGTGCTGTAGCCAAGTTGTGCCGGTCACCGGTGACCCCCACGGCAGTCAACATGTTAAAATAAACCATCACAAGAAAAACCAAAAAATAGTATAAAAGAACAAGAAAGGCGAGGAATCCAACCAACTTCAACATAATATCGTCAAGAGGAGGTATGTCAAATTTAATTACATTTCCCCTTCTAAAACAAAATCCTTGCTTTTCTGTATCCAGAATCAGTTGATGAACCATTTCAAATATTTTTTTATCTAATAGTTCACCCGAAAATTCTAGTCCTCCTCAAAGCAAAGGAAAAATCATTAAAAAATGTTTTCTAATCTAAAAAGAATCTTAAAAAAAAAAAAAAATGAAAACATGCCCTTAAAAATGAAACATGAAAAGAAAAATTAAATCCTGCAGTGGAAAATCTTTGTAAGTTCAAAAGAATCTTAACACAAACTTTACTAGAACCTCTTATCAAACAGCAGTAGCAAAGGAAAATTGGGGGGGGGGGGGGGGGGGAAGTAAAATCATTAAAAATATCTTCCAATTTAAAAAAGATTTTACTTGTCTAAAAAGAATATTTGATATTCTACATTTACAGAATTTTATCAAGTTAATTTGAATTTGAATTTTTATTCTTTCTGAAAAATTGGTTCTAAATTTCTTTCTTTATATATTTACTGATCGATTTTTAGCAGCATAATGCACGAAAATTTTTGGAAGGTTTATAAATTTTCCTTTTAAAAAATTATTTGTATATACATAGTCCAAACGCATCTGTATACAGTGGAATATGTTTAATGCGAAAACACTTAAGACGACATATCGGTTAACACGAAATAATGCAACAGTCCCCACAAACTACTATGTATTTTCATGCATTTTGTTTCTTTTAACATGATATAAAGATTGCTTAACATGAAAAGATATCCTTTCTGGAAATGAACAAAATATAGAAACACTGGTATCGCAGACGAGATTTAAGCGGGATGTGAAATGAAAGAGAGGTGGTTTCACATATTTCGTAGAAAAGAGGCTATAATTTGGCTTTGAAATACCCTGTGACACAAGCCAGTTTTGTTTATCTATGCTAGTTTCGCTTTTCGCCTCTACAAACATCTCATCTCTCACCAGTTAGCTTTGGAATTCGGTGACGAGTTCATGGTAGTGCGAGTAAAAATTAGTGAGTTTGGCTCATATTTTGCACTGCATGGAAATTATTTTCATTACACACAATTCTCAAAAGTATCAGATTCTTTGGCGCCGAAACAAATAGAGAAGTAGGATATTGAAGCTGAGCTGACACTTAATAAAATGTTTGAGAAAGTTTCTGCATTAATGAATTGTCCTACTGTACTATCGGAAGAATTTGTTGCAGTAGTTTATGATAATATGTGTACAGCCCCAATTATGGCGAACAAAGTTATTTTGGAGTTTGTTCAAAGCTAAAAAAATATCATTGGTGCAGATTCTGATGACAAAAATAAAATGAATAATGCAGTTCCTGTTCCCACATCATCCGAAATGAGGAACATCATAAAAAGTATGGACAGTTATTTAGACACATATTTCCAATGGTGAAATCAATAACCAAATGTTTGACATTGAACAATTTGATGCTAAAAAAGACAATGCAAAGAAAAATATCAGATTATTTTCCCAAAACTTAATGTTTTTCAAAAAACTTGAAAATTTTGTATTAAATTCCATTTTCTTATGGATGTTTTTGTTTCATCGATTTTTATTAAATGCATGCATATATACATATCTATGTAAATAAAATGTACTCTAGTATGCTTGATTTTGTTAAATATATTTTTTTTTTTTTTTTTTTTTTTTTTAATATTCTTTAACACAAAAAAATATTCCCCTCAGTTTACATACAGTCCCCTCAGTTTTGTGTTAAATGATTTTCACTGTATATCTATTGCACATAAATCGCTTTCTTACATAAAATATAAATGTATGCATAAAATAACTAAATAAATTGTAAAGGAAGTTTAATTAGCAACTATGAAATCTTAAAAAAGTAGTATACAATTTATAATGGCAAACATTAAAATAGATGAAAGTAAAATTTAAATTATAGAATGTACTTTATAAAATTAATAAAAAGTGGTTAAAAATATATATTTTAATTACTTAAAACATGGAAGTTATTTGGCAGAGATTGTTGGATATAAAATTACTACTTAAAATTTTCAGATTACTGTTGCTCATATTTAGTCTCAATTTACAGTCTTAATCCACATAACAACCATTGTAAAAATCACCCGTTATCATAATCCAAAGATCAGCAGCATACATTTTTTTCAAAATCGTGCATAATATTAAATATTGGCTTTTGATTGTCAAGTTGATGCAAATAAGATGAACTGTTTTCATGATTTTAGACTAGTGGTTCATTCTTCCATTCACTTATTACAGTATTTCATTTTTTATATGCTCGACTATCCAAAATTTCAAGAGCTTTCCGGATATCTTTTTAGTTGAGTTTTTACTGTACAATCATTTCAGTATTTACGTCGTCAAAATTGCACAGACACATACTTAAAGTGAATTTACTTTTACTGCTAAACACAGGAACTGGAAAACGAAAAAGTACTTATTCAGAGATTGTATTTCTTTTTCGTTCATGAAAATCAAACTTCATTACACAAACATGCAAGCACACTGCAGAAGCATGTATGGAAATTCTTAACACATTTAGTAATCCTGATCATTGATTACACATTTAGTAAATAAATCAGAAAATATTTTAATGTATAACAAATGAATAAAGTAGTTAAGCTTTTATAAAATAGAGCATAATACTACAGTTACAAAGATATTTAATGTTATAAAAGTTAGGTAATTTAGTAAATTTCAGTTTTTCACCAAAGCAATGAAATATTTTGATAATTATGAAGTTCCTTGCATATCTTTATAAATGAACTTTATTGCTTTTTAAGCAATTAAACAACTGTCCAAGTTATTTTAATACTTTTGAAATATATTCTCTAAAAGAAACATTTATTAATCTATTTGTCAACCTTGATTTTGGCATAAAAGTCTGCAGAATGCTTTGTAGTTGTTAAGCACACAGAGGCACTGCAATTCTTTCTTATTCCTTGATCTGAAGTTTTCTGCAAGTGTTTTTTTTTTTTTTTTTTTTTTTTTTTTTTTTTTTAATTAAAATATCTGTGTTGGCACACATACAATTTTTGTATAGTGACTTCAGATGTGGATAATGTTTCCGAACACTATCGTTTGTTTTACTGGCGTCGCTGAATGCATCACATTTATTGCTGAGTATCACCTTCCAGATTTTTCATACTGTTTTAATGTATACATCAGCAGTGAATTATTCTCCTCTTTTCCTCAAATACTCTACGGCGATAAACAATAACCATTCACTAAAGATATTGAGTAAATTTCCACTCATAATAATTTAAATTGCGAAAATCTCACAATTAGCACCTAAACACACTATTCAGAACTTTCGAAAGCGCGCCGTAGTATTCAAAAGTGGGGTACGCCGTTTTGCCAGGTGAAACTAGTCGATATTTCCGTGACGTCAAAAATTCGAAAAGTGGGGTAGGGTTTGGAAATACGCGGCCGGGGGCAGATGCCCCCCTCTAGCTACGCTCCTGGTTGCATGGTATCATCGTTTGATTCCAAGTGTTGAAATTTATTTTTAATTTTCAAATTACTGTCTTCATTTTCATTATCTAAAGAGTGGGTAGATCGCTTATGATGTCTTTATCTTTGTTTTGAAAAAGCTCCTCCATTTTGTATGGATTCGCAGAATTGTTTCAAGTCTTGAATTTGTTTCTGAAGTTGATCATTATTAGTTTTAAGCTCGTTGATAGTTTAAGCAGCTTGCGCATTTTCTTGTTCACGAAGTTGATTAATTGCTTTTGTAAATAAAAGATGAAGTTTGTTTCTAATCTCAGTTGGACGTTCAGAAGGTGTTTGATTCAGAGCATTTTCGATATCAATGACAATTTGTCTGGTTGAAGAGGCATCATTAGAGAGAGTAATTTAATTACTCAAAACATGAATCAGTTGCGGTGCAGAAGTCACAATTATGGAATTGTTGTTGGAAGTATCAGGTGACGTAGTAGAGGTGTTCATGTTCGCTATATGCGCAAACGCAGAACCTAGCTGAACAGAAGAACTGACATCCTTAGATGTCATGTGCACATAGGAAAGTGAGAGAGATAAATAAGCTGTAAGTTATTAAAAAAACCCTGAATCTTTTCTATAGACTTACAAAAACAAAAGCGATATAACGAGTTATACTTGCCGGTAAACAGGCACAACAGCTGTTATCCGTAGAACGGCAGGTGTGATCCCCAGTCGTATAAACGCAGGTGTGGCCTCCGAGCGAGACGAAAAGCAACCTTCTCGAAGGACACAAGGTGCCTTTTAAGCAAGGCTTTTCAACTAATTCACTATTTTACCTTTTAAGGACTGCGCAGGGAAACTTTTAGGGAGCGTCATTTGCCCTCGGGCGGTAAATTTTCCTCCGTCCGTCCCTGGCCTTAAGATTTGCATCCAAGATTGAGTAAAATGTCGCGAAGGTGTGTCTACGTGAAATTTGTAATCAGTGTAAATCTTGATATCTCTACCTGTAAAACAGTTCTAAGCGCGACAACCTACCACGAAATTTCAGATTTCTTCATCTAATATTCGCTAAATGCGCTTGTACTGCTAAACAAGAATAAAGAATTATGCTGTACTGAAAATTATGAATATGCTGAATTATGATGTAAAAGTTAACAGGTGAATGTTTTAAATGCACTGGCATAATTTTATATTGTTATCAAAATATGATAACATTTTTCTTATACATTAGTATATGAAAAATAATAATAAGTGTAATAAGTAGACTTTACCAAAATGTCGCCAAACTACCTGTTACCATATTCCAAAGATATGCCTTATTATTATCTGTTTTTGAAATCCCATAAAAAATTAGTGCTGAAGAAACACTGTGTTCGAGATATGTAACAGTGTGTTCAAGCTTTCTGTACTACTGGAAAAGTTATTTTATTAAGAGATTCTTACGTACATAAACATCTAAGATTCGTTGTTATAATGCATGATTTAAAGATACGTGATATCCCAAGTAGAATGAAAATTTGATTGATTTGTGGTACAGTGAATTTATATGAATATCTACTGAGAAAAAACTTGGATATGCAGCATGTCCTTTGTACAAAAGCATGATTAAGGTTATATGTTGAAGAAATCTCATGAATTTAATACATGTAATGAAGCATACACACAATAACACTGGGGAGAAGTCCCACGTGTGCGATGTATGCAACAAATCTTTCAAGGTAAAGCAGCATTTAAAGGTGCATAAGTATACCCATACAGGGCAGAAACTACATGTTTGTGATGTATGTAACAAATCCTTCACATTAAAAAGTCATTTATTGTTGCATATGTATCTCCATACAGGAGAAAAATCTCATCTATGTGATATATGTAACAAATCATTTTCACGAAAGCATCATTTAATGTATCATATGCATAGCCACACAGGGGATAAACCTTACATATGTGATATTTGTGGGAAATCATTCTCACTAAGGCATCATTTACTGGACCACATGCATATTCACACAGGGGAAAAACCTCATGTTTGTGATATGTGTAGGAAGTCTTTCGCACGGAAACGTTATTTAATGGTACATATGCGTACACACACAGGAGAGAAGCCTTATGTGTGTGATGTGTGTAATAAGTCCTTCACTCAAAATTGTAATTTAATGGTGCATAAGCAGCTGCATACAGGAGTGAAATCATACATATGTGATGTATGTAAGAAATCCTTCACAAGAAAGCATGACTTATTAGAACATGTACGTATTCATACTGGGGAGAAACCTCATGCATGTGATGTATGTAGCAAGTCCTTCAGATTACAAAGCAATTTAAATGCGCATATGCGTAGTCACACAGAAGAGAAACCTCACATATGTGTTGTATGCAATAAGTCATTCAAACGAAAATATCCTTTAGTAATGCACATGCGTGTGCACACAGAAGAAAAGCCTCATGTATTTAATATAGAAACAAGTCACTCATACAAAAATGTTATTTAATGATCCGTATGCATTTCAATTCATTTAAGAAATTCGTAGTTTCCCATGAGTAGAAGCTTCTCTAAGTAGTGTTACAGTAGATACCACTTAATGTAATCAGGGCTAGTTTAACCGTTAAGTAATATAAGCACATGCTTATTGCACTGAGGAGAGGGGGCCACCATTACAAGATCTCTAGGTATTCAGAAAAGGGAGTACCAAAAAATTTCCCATTGGTGGTTTCACAATGAAATGCATGGTGCAGCTAAACCAAAGCTGAGAGAGAGACTGAAGAAAAAGCTGGCATGAACATATGTTGAGGCACCCAAATCTATGTGCCAAAGTGCTATTCATATGTGAAAACATGGAAAATACTTCAATTGCACAGACTAAAGTGCAAGTGAATAAGAGCTCATATTAACCAAACTGTCAATCATAATGAATGACTATTTGGTTAATATGGTCAAAATATGATAGAATAATTTTTTTTAAACTGAAGCAGAGTTGCCAGAATAAATTATAAAAATTGTCAAATGATAGAAAAATAAGAAAACTACGAATTTCGGGAAACTACGAATTTCGAAACTACGAAAAAAAGTCCCAAAAAAGCTTAATTAAGATTTTAATCAACGATATGAAATTAACTAAAAAAAGCAACCTTAGTGTGGTATCAATTTTGAGGGCAATCAGATGCAGATAGCTCTTTAAAAAAAAAAAAAAAATCTGCAAAGTAGCTCTCTTTTCCTTATTCTTTGGAAAAGGGAGAGAGAAACTCTCAAAACATCCATACCAGATTTAGGTTCTTTTTTCGTCTAATTTCTTTATTACATTGAGGCTGCCATCTGAATGTCAGCAGTACAGTAGCAGTCAAATAATTTCTAGAAATGTTATGAGCAATTCATAAATGAACTGATAAAGACATTATGAAGAGTTCATAAGTAAATTTTGCCTTTTCTTACTTAAAATACTGGGAAATACCTGTTTAAATGTTACTGGTTAAATTTATATTAAATTAGTAAAATTGCATTACTATTTTGAAGGCATTTTGTCTCACGATTTAATGTTATCAAAATAGTTGTACACAAATATTAAGCAACACCTACTGTCATATGGTTTCTGGTAGCTTTTGGTTATACTTATTTATTTATAATGTCAAACTTATTCACAGTAAATAGGTGTAAGCGAAATGTAAATGTAGAGAGTTTTTCATTTTTCTCATATTATGTACACAAAGTCCTGTCCTTATATGCAGTGCAGCTAAATGAAAAGAGCTGATTGATAAAGAAATGCAACAATTGTATTGGCATATTTGACTAATGTAATCAATTAGGAAGTGATAAATTGGTTACTATTTCTCCTGAGATGTACGCCTGAGTTCGCAATCTTAATGTGGGTATAAGTATGATGACAGAAGATACTTTACTAACTATTCTTTCTGTGTATTTATCAAATCTAATACTGATGGAAAATGAGGATTTTAATGTCTGTCTTCTTTTGAAATAGTACATTTTGTTGTGCAGTACAGACACCGTTTTCTTCAGTGCTTTGTAATCTTTTGAGGATTATGATAAAGTATGAGAATATTTTGTTTTCATGTATAAAAGAAGCATTGTAAAGTGTTTGCTGTGCATTGCATTACTTGGTTTTGCTGTACTGTGATATGCAGCATAGAGTATAGTGTGGTTATTAATACTTTAACGGCAGATGTAATGTAATTGGTTCATGCATATTTTTGTACTTAAGCTCGGAGTACAAACAATTTTAGAAGAATTTTAGAAGTGATTACCAAAATATTTTCACCCAAAATAAAAATCAAGTAAGGTTGATCTTTACATTATGGTAACTTGGCGTTTTTTTGGCGAAAATTTGCCGACCAACTCTCCTACAGCAACCCTCTATTTTTTTTTTTTCCCGCCGCCATTTTGTCTTCACGAAGTAAAGACATGTTTCTTTTCTTTTATCTACTGAACACTTCTTCCAACAATCTACTAGCCGAATTACACTTATGCTAGAAATTTTATACAAAAACTGCTTAATCATGACAAATATTCACTGCAAAATTGGGAAAAAGTGCACAATACCATACTCCTTATGCGTTTTTCAAAATAACACATACACATAAACCATGTACACGCCGACTTATTTTTACTTAAAAAAACATCCCAGAATTACACAAAAATGGCATTGTGCACACTCTTCACTATATCCATGTACACTGCTTTTTTCTCATAAATCAGAAAAATTTCACGAAAATACATGACAATTTTCTGAATCTTTAAACCCGGTAAAAAGAACATATATGAAATTACCTGATCGCGAAAAAGTTTATATCCTTTCCAAATATGAACATTTCCACATATAAAATAAATAAAATATCCAAAAACTTTTACCTCTAAATCATCTATCATATTATACACGTCACCAACGAATTCATACCGCAAGCATTACAAATACTTAGTGTCAAATATTTAAATTATTTCCATGCACGTTTACTTCAACTTAAACGTATACCAATTCCTACAAACATAAAATTCACAAAATAATTATCATTTAATTAAAATATCACTAAACCATGTACACGTCGACTTATTTTTACTTAAAAAAATCCCAGAATTACGCAAAAATGGCATTGTGCACACTCTTCACTATATCCATGTACACTGCTTTTTTCTCATAAATCAGAAAAATTTCACGAAAAATACATGACAATTTTCTGAATCTTTAAACCCGGTAAAAGAAACATATGAAATTACCTGATCGCGAAAAAGTTTATATCCTTTCCAAATATGAACATTTCCACATATAAAATAAATAAAATATCCAAAAATTTTACCTCGAAATCATCTATCATATATACACGTCACCACGAATTCATACCGCAAGCATTACAAATACTTAGTGTCAAAATATTAATTATTTCCATGCACGTTTACTTCAACTTAAACGTATACCAAATTCCTACAAACATAAATTCACAAAATAATCATTTAATAAAATATCACTAAACCATGTACACGTCGACTTATTTTTACTTAAAAAAACATCCCAGAATTGCGCAAAAATGGCATTGCGCACACTCTTCACTTATCCATGTACACTGCTTTTTTCTCATAAATTAGAAAAATTTCACGAAAATGCACAACAATTTTCTGAATCTTTAACCCGGTAAAAGAACATATATGAAATACCTGATCGCAAAAAAGTACATACCCTTTCTAAATATCAACATTTCCCCTGTATAAAATAAATAAATATCCAAAAACTTTTACCTCTACATTATCTATTATATTAAAACGTCACTAACTAATTCATACCTTTACTTCACAAATGGTTACAAATACTTAGTGTCAAATATTTAAATATTTCATGCACGTTTACGCAATTACTTTACTTCCACCTTACATTTAGAACAATGCATAAAAATAATATCCTCAAATAATTAAAAAACTAACTTACCTATTCTTCTTCAGAATCTTGATTACGTGTCCGATAAACTTTTCTTATTTCTGTTTCAGGATCTTTAAAATCATACTTATAGTTCACACCAAGGTACCAGGTAAATAAATACTTAATAAACATCTTTACTTCTATCTCGCAAACCTTAAAGAAAACACTATTACCCCTTTCAATTCCACTAAATACGCATTTCGAATTCACTTTAGTTAGGGCCATGGGATCCAAAAGTTAACGAACACTGTTTCACACAACACAGAATAAAGGCAAATACAAAATTTCGAGATTTTTTCCCAATTTCCCCCCTTTTCCGATTAAAGAACCGTAATTCGTCCATTAATATCACATGACATATCCCATGATCTCTCATTTCCCTCACACAAAATAATGCGTAATTGGAACTGAGTACTGCTCACATTATTATCAAAGTCCCAGGTAGTAACCTTTATCGCCTCCAAAATGTCGCCAAACTACCAGTTACCATATTGTAAAGATCAGCCTCAAGTAATAGTAATATTATCAAATTAACATCAAAGTTCCTTCCTCATTAATAAGTATCCATAGTTTTCATTTAAATTTATAATAGGTAAGCTGATAACTCACTCAAGGAATATATCTTAAAAGTTTGTATATAGAGGACTAGAAGGTAGAAGTATATGTATAATTTTCCACGACCCTGATCCTGCCAGATTCTCCTGAATAATGATCCAAACTTTGTAAAGTTGAGGGGAGGAAAGAGTTATTACCAACTAAAAAACTCAAATGAGGATTTAGTTTCTGCTCTAATAGAAATTAGAATAACTCATATCAACATGTTTGCTGCCAACCTTGAGTTATCTCATAGATCAAAGTTTGTGTTTTGGTGCCAGCTACGAGTTAATTTGTACAACTTTTGTGTTTTACCTGTGCAACATACGATCAAACATGTAGTATTTTCAAGTTCTTCAAAGGTATCTGGCTTTTGGTGTTAAAAACACAATAATTTGCATAATTCAATAGATTTATTATAATTAATATAAGTAATTATAAAGTAAATAACATAAGAACTGTAAACATAATCAAGCAATTTATAATAATTGTAAAAGTAATTAATATTTGTTATAAGCTGCGCTGTGGAGTCGGTAGAGAAAATGTCCGACTCCTGGAATTTTAATGACTCTTGACTCCGACTCCCGCATATATGTGCGTAAACATATACGCATGGGTTACAGCTTATTTTTTTTAATATAAAAGAAGTAATAGATGATACAAAGAATAATTGATGGCATAGCAAATTATTTATGTTAGTTAGCATTTATTATGAAATAGAAAAACTAGCATTAGTTATTTCTAAGAAACAGTATAGGATCGGCAAGATCTTCTTTGTTGGAGGCCCATAAATCCGATTTGATAAACGTATGAACTGAGAAGAGTGTAACTTGAGTAGAAGGAAGAGTTGTTGCTGTTAAAGCTACTTCTTTTAACTTTTCAGGTTTTATAATTTCTAAAAATGGTGTCTTTCAAGCGCAATCATTTTTCTCTATTTCTCCAAAGGCTGTGTAGAAATCTTGTTTGTACTT